AAATGCATTTAACATGAATTCTACCCAGATAAATCTCATAAATCTACAATTTAAAATCATTTTCCGCCTAAACATTTGGTGTCTGTGCCAATGTAAGTATGGATAACACTGAAACATAATATGTAATTCCATTTAGAATTAATGTATTTTGCAAATCACTTGGTCTCACTGGTTATTTTCTTGCCTTTTCATAACAGATCAATAAGCCTTGATGCCACTGAAGCACTTAAGTCAATAACTCCTTCTACAGTCTCTCCCTGCATCGCTCGGGGGACTTCTTACTCATATGATATACTACACTAATCAGTGTGCAGCGTTCAAACGAATTTAAATTGCAAATGAGCTTGATGTGAAATATGCAAGCCCGTCTGCCACAATGGGTAGCGTCGAGCAGCACATCATATGTCCCAACAAACAACATGCCTGCAAGAGCGTTCAAATCATCTTTCTCTTTCTACTCTCCTCTCCTTTGATCACGACTCCCCAGTAAACAACAAACAGTATGTCACATCTTCATACGGCCCTCAGTTATTCAGCGGCTGAATATAAGAGTTGACTGACATGCTGAATCACAGAAGGGATTTATTGTCTTAACCTAATTTACTTGTTGTTTATAGAAAGTGCAGCAGAAGAAAGGGGGGGGAGCGATGTCTGAAAGAAGCCAGCGACAACAAAGAAAACAATAACATTTATTTATTGATTCATAGGTTATACATTTCATATTATAATAGCGATATATTATTATTGGCAAAGATACTATAATCCAATTGCATTTCTATACATAAATACAAAATCTGAGGTAGGGCCTCAAAGATTGATGACAGTGAAAATAAATAAATGCATTTCACATATATGATATATATTTTCTATTTTTTTTTTACACGTCACACACATTTTTAAAACATATTTGTTATATATCTACTCTTAATTTGTCAAATCAAACGATGTCATGGGCTGTTGGAGGCACATATCTATATCCATAGGCAGCAGTACCTCACATAGAACACACAGAAATATATGACATTACTCAAGTAATTAGAAATTTAACCTATGCAGTCATAGGTCACACAATAAAGTGCCAAAAAGACACAACAGACATAACAATAGGAATACTGGTACCATATGAGACAGACAGCTATTCTGTGGTGTTATTTTTGAAATACATATAATATTCTACCATTAGAGGACATCTATAAGGCCAATGGTTACCTGAAGATGTTTTGTAACGTATTGGCAAACATCGAAGAACACTACATGTTATATGAATGGCAGTATCTCGACCTCCTATACGCAGATGACACATTCCTTTTTTCTTCTAAAGTTTGTTTTCTGTTTTCACTACAACCTCTAGTTAAAAGACTCTTTCTTTGGTTACATATACTGCCCAAAGTTGACTTGCAGGCCAAGCGAATTGACAGTTCCATTTTTTTTTGTTGTTGTTTTTTTTTTTCTTCTTCTTCTTCTTCTTCTTCTTCCTCATCTGTAAATGGACAACAGCAACCCTCTGTTTCTTAACTTTATGTCGAACAAAAAGTTCCCCTAAAATGAACATGCACCCCACTTATACTATTTGAGAGAAAAAAGACAAAGATTACTATACATGGACATTGAGTTACAGCAACACAAACTGCACATGCAAGCTCTTCATTGTTACATTTTAAGAAGCAGTGTGTTTTCTAACTAAACCCTAAGCTGTTTTTTTTTTTGTTGTTTTTGTTTTGTTTTTCTCAACAGAAAGGCAGAGAATCCCTGTAGAAATGGAAACACAGGGACACAACACATTTAGCTATTCAGCTGTGGCCCTAAATTAAATCACTAAAATCTATCTCAGGGCATAAAAGGCTTTTTATCATTCAAGTCTTACTACACTGAGCAATCTGTCCACTACATCCAACGTGTGATTTAAAATGCCAACCTGCTCCTTCGGCCACTCCTTCTCTGAACTGTGTGGATTCAATTTTTTTATTTTTTTATTTTTTTTTGGAGCAGATCAGGGTTGAAAGTTTACCCAGCCAGTTCAAGCTCGCAACTGGTTCTCTAAGATCCTGGTCGGAGAAAAGAGAAAGACGTGCATAAAGCTGAGGCATCGTGGGTAAAAAAAAAACAAAAAACGATAAAATAAAACGTCCTGTGAATCTCCTCTGCTTGTTTCTACTCTGACACCGGCCATGCAAACATCTGATTGACAGTTAAGTTGGAGTTCGGTTAAACTAATACAGAGACAAACACGCACGCACAAGCATACACAGACACACATCATCATCACGTCTGAACAAATAGAGCTAAATGCACAACAAAAGCAACACAGTGTCGCGAGCCAGCTATCTAACGTCAGGGTATTTGTGCTCATTAACTGATTATGTTTTGCTTTCAAACGGTTACAACCTCTTAAAATCGCATCTGTGCTATTTTCATGTCAAGTTCATGAAAAGGCATGGCTTAGAGAAGTAGTTTGGGAGACCCTTAGCAACGGTTATTGCATTCATACCTGCAGCCTCCGCTTAAAAAAAACATTTAAGCCACTCCACAGTTAAATGCCTGCAGCGTTAAAAGCACAATAAAGCCAATTGGGACTTTGTGTCAGCGTGAAAAATGCATATTCAAACCGGCCAAAGTGTGGAAAAGGACTAATTGATTCTGAGTGGATACATTGTGCTACTTTGAAGGTAATCGGGTGGCAGCCCGCGAAGTTAAACTTGGCTGCTTGTCACATTTCAAAGGGCTTCAAAGCCGGTGTGGTCGCCTGCTGAGCTGCACCGGAGCCGTTCCTTCAGGCTGCTGTGCTGTTACATCCGGAAGATTACTTTTACGCCCCCAGAAACACGCTTACAGTAGCTCATTTGTGCTGATGATGTCTTAGCAGCATGACTTAAAGGGAAATATGTGCTAAATTGCAGCTACATGAGTCGCTCCGATGACCCACAGTTGAAGTGAAGGGACCGAAAAAGTTCCTGAAAGTCGTTAATTTCCCGGCGTGTGAAAATCAAGCCCGTCGGTGCTTTGAAGGTCAACAAACTGGCTCACGGTCCAATTAAAATTCCAGTTGACTCCAAACTTTCACTTTTGAATTCATTTCAACTCCTTTTTGAAGTTCCTTATGAACACGTTGACACTTGATGTTGCACAAGTTGTCAAAACTGGTTAAGTCACTCTTTTAGAATCATCGCGAGGCGCGTTTAAGCGACGGTAAGTTGATTCTGATCTTTCGCAACACGCTTCAACGCTGCCTCCATTTCCGTTAAGCATTAGGATGGCTCCACTGTCCGTTTCTTTTCTTTTTTTTAAACTGTGCACTGAATGCTATTATTCCCACAACTACCGGAGTAGTCGGATGGAATCGAGTATACCTGAGACCCTGTTTTCATGAGGACACACAGAGAAGCGAGAGGCATAAGTTTGAAATGACAAAGAGGTCTCCAGAGCTCTACCACAAACAACAAGAGACAAAGTACACTTCCAGGATAGAAGGAGGCCATTTCCTAGTCTACTCTTCGCCTTGCTCACACATAGCAGCTGCTCCTAACGTTGTGAGGATGCGACAACACACACACCGACGACTCCACGGTCTTTTTTTTTTTTTTCCTCAGGAAGCGCACACTTTGTACAAAATATTACACAACTAGCAAGAGAAACATGGGGTTCAGAGAGACACGCACACACACACTCGATCTCTGTCCTGCTAGCTCCGTCCTCTGCTGGAGGCTCTACATATATAACTGTATATGTGTGTATATATATATATATTTATATATATGTATATATTTATAGATTTATATATATTTGATATTGATACTCTACTGGTGTGATTGCAAAGAAGGTTCTCACAGATGGCTCGACGAGTTCACAACACGCACAGTGATACATCTAAAATATATGCACGGAGGGCGGCTATTAGGCTTTGAGACCTGGAAAGGTTAAATGGCCGCATTATCAATTCTACTAAAGGAAGGAAAGACTAATCTAGTGGGCTCCTATGCTAGGAATGTGCTACTTTACATTCTAGGATAATACGACACCATTACAACTTAATAAATAGACAAAGAGAGAGGGTATCACAAATGGTCCCTCTTGGTTAGGAGAGAAAAATAGACCCAAGCTTCTATCGTACTGCAGAGTCATCCAAGGCCAAAGTGTATCTACTGAAAGTGGTAATCAGGATGCATTCGCTACTCTACCGGGACGTAGGAGGCACAAATTGCAGATCTCGTACTCTATTTTTGACAAAGCAAGAGCGACTGCGCACTAGCTGGTATGAAAATACATATATACTGCTGGATAGGAACAAAATGTGATAACAGAGCATTCTGTGTGTGTTTTTCTTTTTTTCTTTTTTTTCCGAGGCAGTTGATATTATTTGTATTGCCGATGGAATTTTGTACACAGATGGAACCAAACACAGATCCCCACCGAGCTCGTTGAACCGATTTTTTTTTTGTTTTTTTTTTGTCTGCCGCTCAATTTTCTTTTTGTTTTCCTGTGTCTGCTTGCACCAAGATGATTCATTATCTCTACACACAAATATGACGGCACACACACACACACACGCACGCACACACACACAAACACACACAACTCCATAGGGAACAGCTATGGTGAGTCTAATATTGCAAGTGCAGTCTGAGCTGTGTCATTTTATGACACAATTTTTCTCTTGGAATAAAGATCCCTGGGAAGGGTTCTGGAGTAATCAGTGGTCATGTGTGGGAGGCAATGATAGCCCATTAACCGAGTACGAAGCAGCAGCGGAAGAGTCGACTCCACTTGGGCAGCCACTCCTCCCTGAGACAAGAGAGGAAACGGTGAAGAGGTAAAGGAATAGGAAGGGGAGCCTGTTTCCACATCCATGATGAAGGGAGGCAGACAGGGAGCAAAGGGGGTGAAGCAGGAGAAAGAGAGAGAGGAGGAGGAGAAGGAGAGGTGGAGGAGAAGGCGGCCTGGAAACGGCCCGCCTCCCTCCCGGTGCCTCCTGCAGGAGTCGGTGTGGTGCCGCCGGGCGGCTGCTACTGGTAGGAACCCAGCTGGAAGTCCTTGGGGGGCAGCTTGAGACCCAGGGAGCTGGTTCCCAGTGGGTCCATCATGTTCTTGTAGCGTTCTCCACGGTGCTTCATCAGGAAAGGACCCCAGTCTGGCTGAGGGGAGCAGACCAACTTCACGCGCTGCAGGAGGAGAAGAAGCAGCTCAGTGCAGGTTCACACAGATGCATGAAGTCAGAGATGAAGTCAGAATCAAGCTGAACCTTCTAACTGTAGCTGGTTTCATGAGGCCTGGTAAAAATCTGGATGGTTTTTTGCTCCTGTCACATTTTAACTCACTGTGGGTTCATTTTCACTGTAATATAAAGTCTATGGAAACAGAACAACCATGACTGGAAGTAAAAAGACCTCAAAAATGTCTTGTATGCAGAATAACACAAGACACAACAAAATTGTTGGACCAAGGAACATAGAAATCTTCGTTTAATTTTTTTTTACATCTGGTTGCTGCAATTGTAAACGACACATGTAGAATAAAGTGTTTTTGTCAAAATATCACAACTTTAAACTTATATTTGATTAAGTTGTCCAAAGAAAGACAAAATTAGTTCCAGAAAGTTAAAAGTCTGACAATTCTCTCTGTTTTAACAGTTTCTGGTTGTAATAAACGGTGTCATTTTTTAAAGCTAGCATGTCTTTCAGTCCCACTGGTGAGTTAAAGAATCTTTGTTTGGAGCTTTCCGGTGATTTTTAAACTAATCTTATGGCATTAATTTGTGTTTGTAGATACAACTGGTATGGGGGTGATTGTGCACAGCAAGCCAAGAATGTTAACAGAAAAGGAAAAGATGAAAAATATCATTAAGGGCTTCTCTTTTGGGTTCAATTAGTGTGCAGAACGTATAGACGGGAAACAGCTCTTTTGAGTGCACTGATGTGTACATCTGCACTGAGATCAAATCCAGTAGAGACGGTGAAGATGGAAAAATGCACTGGTGAGTCTACAAATACGTTTCCTCTTCCTGCTTTTGCATTTGTAAGATTATTTCTATCAGTTATAATATCAGTTGTGTTGTGCTTCATCCTTACAAGTCCATTACATTACAATTTAATCCATTTGGCATTTATACTGATTTAACTGTGGGTATTGTTTTATAATGACATTGTCCTCTTGCTAATGTTTTTTGTTCCTTTTGCTTTTTTAACTGGATTCCTCAGTTTTGTAATATGTTACTCAAATCAGATAATGTCTACTGTTATGATCCTGAAGTGAGCTTTTTTCTCTACAATCAAACAATAAAAACCACAAGTTAAAAGAGGGTAACTGGGCTATCCCCCTTTTTTCTTGCAAAACATCATCAAAACATGTGTGGCGTGTTTGAAGTTGTTTTGCAGCAGAATCACATCATCCTGCCCTCGTTGTGCGATTAAATGCTCTGATGATTACAGTATGCATTCATTACGGTCAAACAAAGCAAAGAAATTAAAATTGCAGGATGGTCCGCGATTGATGCCGCTGTCAGAGATGCTGAGGGAACAAAGATGTTGGGACAGAAAGCCACGATCATCATCGCCCATTAATCAAAGCGTTTAAAAAGGACCCGCAAGACTCCCAGAAAAATGTTCAAATTAATACTCAGCCGGCAGCTCGTCTCTCCCCGCTAATGAGCGAAGGATGAGACTATTGATTTCCCAGACAGTGTGTGTGTGTGTGTGTGTGTGTTACAGAGGAGACAAAAACTAAATATACATGGCAATGTGTCGCCGCAGCTTCGTCTCGATTATTACCTCCATTATGGTGCCGGGGGCGAGGCGCATCTTAATGATGAACATGATGGGGATCCAGATTACGGAGCAGATGACCATGAGCCAGCCCAGGACCATGGACCAGGTGGGGTAGGTGTAGTCCTCATATGTCATCACCTTCCACTGGTACAGACTCAGTCCAAGGATGCCCTGCACACACACACACCAGAGAACCCGGGAGATGAACATTAAAGGATTCGCCTTCTCTGTTATCTTTCCAGAACTTCTGCTCACAGGGTCTTTGAGCAAGTCACTTCAGCTTGTGCTTCAGTGGCGCAGCTCACAAATGCACCAGTCAGCTCCACAGGTAGAGAACATTTTTCAAAAAGGAGAGGATCATTCATCACTGCAAAATGTATTTCCTGCTGCAAGAGTCGACTGCAGCTTAGAGTAAACAAGGCGAGTCTTGTGGAGAGGACGACATATTTGGCCAAATGTTAAACAATGAGCTCTTAAGGCTGGGTTCTAAAGTTGCAGCTTTTTCTACACACTGGGATTTGGAGCACCTCTGAAAATATTTTCTATTTTGGCAGTTTGATCCCACAGATATGCTTTCTAGGAAATGACCTCCAACCTTCATATTTCACTTTTACAGCTGCAGACTGCTTTTGCTAATTTGGATACAAGTCTGCACAACTATATGCGCCTCATGATACAAGTGCATCTACATTTGGCGATGTTATTCCCACCACTGTAAGTTAATAAAGAATTTAAAGGGCTCCTCCAGTGAAAATCAAGTTTTTTATCCTGTTAACATGTAACTATGGTGGGGGTTTTTTTGCCGGAAGACACATTATGAACGAAATAAGCAGCCACTGCCGTACTTGAGTGCTTGAAACTGTACACCTGAAAACCACAGTTTAATAATGACTGTCTCAAAAACACAGATTCAGACTTCTGGGGTTTTATACGTAACAAATCTACGGAGCTAATCCTGTCAGCTCGCAGGATGGAACTTTCTGTATCATTCCACAGAATTAAGGTCAAGAACGTGTAGCTGAATTAATCCAATATTACATTTTGCTTGTGAGGGATGGAGTCATTTTATGAGGGTGAGCTGGTGTGCTCAGGCTGCAAGCGAGTAGAAGGGAGTGGCTTATGAGGCAATGGAGTAGGGTTAAATCTAAGCTGTTTTAAGGCAGCGGGGAGTTACTTTTGTGGGCGGAAAAAAACTTAGAAAAATGTAAGTTTGATACACATAAATTAGTTTTTACACATTAAACCAGTGACTGGAGAAGGACTGTTGTTTAAGCTTTAAATACATACAGATGCTGTGAATGCATTCAGGTCATTCCTGTGCTGTATGTTACTAACTGATCGTGCAGTGTGAACTCCAGGTAATGGAAACACTGGAGATCAATACAAATAATGACCTCCAGACTTTAGGGAAACAAATAAACTCTACAGTTCACATGAATCCAGCATGATGTTAAACTACATAAGATTCAACTCATACTTCTAAAAACAGCGACTTAATGATGTACGTGTTACATTGGTTCAGTATTAATTATTGTACAGCAGCTACATTGAGTTCTGTGATGCTGTAATGTGATTGGGAGGAAAAGGTCATGTGACCCAGGCATGGAGAAGGAAGTGAAAGAAAAATAGTGCCGGTGATTAAACTATCCAGCTCTGTCCTGCTGTTTTATTAGTAAGAAAGTCATCGATATATCCCCATGAACCCTCATGCTATCAGCAAATCTGAGTGAATGCTTCGAAAATAGCTTAAAGTAGGGACAGGCAGTATTTTTCTTGGGGGGCATCGTTGAGCAAAATTCCCCTGTAGCTTTTCAACATACTGTAATTCAAATAGTCTGAGAAAACTAGACTCCTGCACCTACTGCTGGCTCTGTTTTCAGGCCAATCACGGGTCTTTTCACCAATCAGATAAGACACGAGTATAAATAATACACTAGATCGCTGAATAGTATAAATAGCAGCACAGTCCACAGTGAGAGCAGGATGTGCTGTGAGTGCATGACACAAATCCCAGGTGAAGCTACATGTGAATGCTGAGTGCAGGGGCAGGGGTTGGAACAATGAGGGGCAGGAGGAGAGCTCATTTTTTACCATTTCCAGACTTCTGCAGCTTTAACGATTTGCCTTTTCTGCATCTTGCACGCAAACCCTCATCGATATGCGACTGTAAAATCGTAAACTAATGGCACATATTTTCATTTTTCGAACCTCGTAATGATTTTCGGCACTGATGAGGACTGGTACAGTAGATTTCTTCCCAATTAACTGCACTGAACACAAAGCTGTTTCTGCTATTCGATATACAGAAGATGGAAATTAGACCTTCTGTTTTTATTACATGTGCAGTGAGCAGAAAAAAAAAAGGGAAGGAGTGGAAGGGGGGAAAACTCCATAAAGTGGCTAAAAAGGATTAGAAGACGGGAAAAAAAGGGAAACAAACAGAAAGAAGAAGGCAGACAGAAATAGATTAGCCAGGGGTTGTGCATCAATGAGACAAATGAGGAAATCTGATCTCCCTGGAGAGCAGCGGGATGACCAGCCGGCTCGACCGCTGCTCCATTTGTCATCGTCACCTCTGCATTGGAGGTACAGAGGCTTCCATTAGGATTACTAACATTAATGCTGGCCAGCGTCCAGCTCTGACATCCTGCTAAATCCTGTGCATTGGAATTTGCAATCCCTGCTGCATAGCTAGAGCAAAAATGGCCAATTTACAAGAAAAAAAAAAAAGTGTCTTTCCTGGAAGAAAGCACGTCACAGTAAGTATTTGACGGTTTCTCTTTAAAAAAAAAAAACACACAAACAACCTGGGAATTGGTGACATGACAGGAGGAGGAAGGAAGAAATAATTTTCGATTTCAGCGTAACAGGAGCAATTTCTCCACTGCTCTTTTTCCAATTGCAAATCAATGAACTTGAAAGGAGGCAGTGAAAATGGAGGCATTCTAAGCTGCACATGTCGTGTCTGTGGGAGTCCGTGTGTTGGAGAATGAGATGAAAAAAAAACAACACAAAAAAACAAACATACTGTCAGAATGGTCGGAGTCACAAAGGCCCAGCACAGTCTCCAGAATCGGTTTGGCTGGAAACCAATCATCATTTCAATGTCCTCGCAAAACCTCTGCAGACCTGCGGAGGGAAATAAAATAAAAGAAGAGAGATGGGGGAGAGTCAGAGAGACGAAGAGACAGGAGACACAGACGGTGACCTGGGTTTAATAAGGTCCCTTGAAAAAGACATCAGCAAATTCCATCCATCCTTATGAGGGTGTGTGAGTGTGTGTGAGAGAGAGAGAGAGGGAGGGAGTGTCAGTTTCTGTCATCCCCGGGCAAAAGTGAGGGAGCAGATGGCTTCATTCCTCTGCCTTTATTGACAGATAACCGTGAGTGACATGAAGAGGCAGAGTCACACAATCGTCTCAATATGTCACCTGTACTGATGCTCTGACAAACTGGAGGAGAGCCGTTTGCTTTGATTCCTGGTAACAGGCTGCGGAAACACACCTGAGCTCGCTGCCCGAGTGTCTGTGAGAGACTTACGCATTACAACAGAGCCCCCTGGTGGCCGCAGCCGGAGCGACAAGAGAGAACAACCGTCCAGCTTTAAAGGAGTTTTTGAACAATCAGTCGCTTTAATGCACTGTAAAAACAAACGCTGTGATAAAAGAGTAAAAATCTGGCAAAGGGTTGGAAGAAGTATATAGTGGAAAACTTTTATGTTCTGAAACTGTTAGAAAATAAATAAATAAATAATAATACAAAATTTTTTTTTTTAAATTAAGAATGACTGTGAAAGTAATCGTTACTTCTGTAAATCAAATTGTTTAAATAAAATTTAAAAAATACCATTTGAACATTAGATACAATTTTAGTTTCGTTTTTTACAGTTAACATTTATTATTACATCTATTTGCAATTAAACAAATCGGTTAAATAACACCTTAAAGAAATTATTTACAATTTTTGTCTTTTCTTTGAAAAACAACTGCAAACACTGTAAAATATCTGATGATTGAAATACAAAATACAGTTGTTGATGTTATTCACAGTTTTGAAATATTGTCAATGGTTAATATGAATTAACATAAATTAATACTTTTTCCGTGATTTTATTGGTTGTTGTCAGGAATTCAGCAAAACAGGGAAAATATGTAAAATAACAGTAGATTGCTCAACAAAATACAGTAAAAACTTTATTTAAAAAACAAGCTTTTTTTTTTTTTACTCTGTTGCAAAGTTAAGATATTAAAACCACTTGTTCTGATAAGCTGAGGTGATTTTTTTATTATTATAATTATTATTTTTGCATTAAAGCTGCTGCAGCTTCAATAAGTCAAAATAATTCAAATTACAGCTAATTAGATTTTATTATTTTACCTGCAGTATTCTTTGTTGTTTTTATTAAGTTTAAATTTAAATCCTCACCGTAGCTTCTTAAATCATTTTAGGGTCATATTGCTGATTGTACAGTTCAATCATCATATTGAGAAGGAGTTCAGTGAAGTTTGAGAAATTACCTAATTGGCATATATTATTCAGATATATATATATATATATATAGACTGAAAATAAAAAGATTTTCCTTACATTTGTAGTTTTCAGTAGAACTTTTCTCCTGTAAACAGTGCGGACTACGACTGTAGATGCCGGTCAGTCTGTAACATTCTGGCCTGTAACTGAGTGACGTGCAGTGCCATCTAGTGGTGAGTTTGTAGATTGCAACCAACTGAATTCTCCTCCCTCAACCTCCTTTTTCAAACATGTAGAAGAACCTACAGCGGCTTCCACATCAATGCACAAATGTGAAAGACAATCTTTAGAGCCAGGTTTGTCCATTCTGGGTTACCGTAGAAAGATAGCGACGCAACAGCTGGGCTCCACGAAAGAGAATCTGCTTCATATGTAGATATGATGGTAAGCTACCAAAAATACACATGTCTGTAGCTTCAGGTGATGATACAGGAAATTAAAACATAACTATGAATAATATATTCCATTTGTGCAAAAATATCCTTAACAGTGCTCCTTTAAAATTACATGCTAACAGCTGGAGTAGCACCAGTTTGGTTAGAACATCCAAACCCGTCTCTACAGAAACCGTACAATTAAACTGCATGTGTAATTCCACTTTAAAGCATTAGTTGGCAACGTGACACTCCTACTAGACTGGTCATCTTAGATTTAAGTTTGGTTTCCACTCACTGTTTGGTCAGTTTTAGGGCATGAAACTAAGCAGTCTGATGACCTTGTTGGTCATGTACTCACCATAGAGGTAGGAAATCCCCACCAGCTCAAAGATGGCGATGATGACCAGAGAGTAGGAGGCCGCGAATGTGTCCACCAGCTGCAGCATGTACATCCCGCTCTGTAGCAACACACACAAACCAAACATTACAAACACAACCCAGCATCACAACCTCCTTCATCTCTCACTATTTTTCTTCCACCTCTGATTTGTTGTAATTTTCACACCAACTTGTACCGCATCATAAGAAATGACAAGTATGAATCCTACTTCAGGCGGGATTTTTGCCTGCTGAAGCCGTCCAGGGGGATTTTAATAAGACTCAGCCTATTGTTCCAATCAGCGGAGCCTGTCCTCTGAAGGCCAGGATGTCAGTTTTACGTGCAGAAAAGCTGTCAGCTCATTTACAGAAAGAAGTTGCAGGGATGTGATGCTCAAGTGTCCCCGGTGGTATGAACAGACAGTAGATGTGTGCTTTGTGTCGTACCTCTGTGATCATAGGAAACCCCAGGATGAAGAAGGAGGCGCAGCAGACCAGCGTGAAGAGAGGTTTGTGTTTCCTCAAGTATTTGGGGTATTCGTCCGACACGGAGGTCACGATGGTCTCGATGGTCGCAAACTGGGAAAGGAATGAGTTGGAGGACGGATGTGAAGGAACAGGAGAGAGGTGGGAATAAAGGAGGAAAAGTCCATGTTTTCATTTTAAATCATGCACTGCGAGATGAAAGGTGTTTAATCAAGGCTTTGCTCAAATTAATTCTGTTAAATAACTACAAGTGAAAACGGTTTCAAAGGCAATTTCGGGCTAACTGCAGAGAGCAGCTCACAGCAGGGTCCTGATTGGCCGTCTCCTCTACAGAATTACTACAAAAAAAAAAATGTCCAGTCATGCCAGGTTGCAGAATCACTTCAACTGAAAAGCCTCCAGTCAGCGAGTTCTAACTAATTTGAATCAGAGCAGCTGCTGCTGTCAAAGCGTCCGTAGCCGGCGTGGTGAAGCATTTGTCTTCAGTTCATCCAATAAACACGTTTGTACGCTAATTTCATTTATTTCCAAAAACAAAGAAAGAACATTAATCCCGAGCAAGGAGAAGACGCGAAAAACAAACAAGTATGAAGAATTTAGTTTGCGATGAGGGAACCTGACAGGTGGAGTCCGTCTGGAGAATAGCAAATGTAACATGATGGTAAAAGGGACTCGGAGCCCGGAGGACAGCAGTGGATGAATATATAAACAGGCAAATTGAGAGCGGCTGGTGGAGTGTGTGCGCGAGTGCGTGAGGATACTGTAGAAACGCACTGGCACCGAGCTATCTGCCACTTCTCGACTCCTCTCCTTCCTCCTGAGCTCCCAAAACTAATTTCCCGTCAACATCCCAAGCCTATTACCGCCGAGATGCTTTCTGCAACAAAGCCAGCAGCCCCTCTCCGCCGAGCCGCCGCCGCCGAGCCAGAGTAACATCATCATTTAACTGTTACTGTTGACTTGTGTCTTAATGCGTCACCGTGTCCTCTGCTGAGCAACACGGTGCACTTGAAGGAGCTGGAGGTGTTTTATCTGGAGCTGTTTGTCCAGGATTGGATCCTGGAGGGACTCTGGAGTTTAGAAAGCATCCCAGAGGCGAAAGTGTTTGTTCGCAGGAGTTACATCAGGAATGCATCAGTGCAGCAACTGATAAAATTAGAGTTTTTTTTTTACCTACAAGCATTGTGGTTAATGAGTTGTCATGAAAAAAGCTGCATTTGACACATTTTTTGGCCTATTTGAGGCCAAAAAAACACAATTAAGATAAGATGAAGTCCTGGACAGTGGTGCAAATTTTACCAAACAATAATTAAACAAAAGCATTCAGCACAGAATAGCCATATTTATGCAGACTCATATATGAAAACATTACTATTTAAATCATATTTACATCCACACATACGTAAAAACCTGTTTCTGGCAACCTGGGGAATGTAAACAGTTGTTCTCTTTTATCTCCAGTTTGGTCTCCACCAACTCCTAAACTTTCTCCAGTAGTTCCTTGGTTCCTGAAAAGTCGCCTACAATCAGTTTCTTAGAGCTTTTTTTGCTGAAAAACAGCCTACATGCTGCTAAAAACAAGGCTAATGAGAGCAGGAAACCAAAATAATGACCTGAAAAAATAGAATTAAAGGGCCCTGATTTGCTGGTGGTTTTATACTACGGAAGAAGTCTTTAATATTAACACAAAAATAAGTGTTTAATACACTGCTAATAAAAATATCAGCTAAAAATTGATAATTGATTGTTTTAAAACTCTAATCATGAAGTTGGATTTTGCTGTAAAAGATATTAAACTGACATAAAAGCATGAAAATGGTTCTTTTTTTTCTCCATACATTTACATATGAATTAACATGAAAAACCCTCATGAGAAGTGGTGGAACCTGTAATGTCATATTCAAGAAAAAAAGATTTTCACAATTCTTGCTATAAATCCTTTATTACCTTTATTATTATTATAGTTTATTACCTTTAGTTTTAAATTTCAGGAGTTTTATGAGGAATCAAATTGAACAGCTCCTTTGAAAATTAGACAAAAGTTGACATCAGAGCCGTTATTGTCACCGACTGCCAACAGATTCTGGAGTTTGCTGCTGGAATAAAGCTGAATTACAATATGAATAATTTAAATGATTTCCAGATATAAGCTGCAGATAAATTAGCTGTGAGGTGAATATATATAAGGACAGAATAAGTCTTAGTGTTTGTTATTTCATTTAAAAAGGCTGTTGTCAATAAAACATTTAAGGAAATAAAAATATTAATGATTAGATTGAAAAATCACTGATTTTATCAGTGTATCATTTAAATTTTTTTTAATCCACCAATTTCTGGCTAAATTATTGCATCATTATTATTATTATTGTCATTAATGATTTTTTTTCTGCATTATTTTTATGATTCGAGTTCATTAAATGTCAAAGAAAAAGCAAAAATTAAATAAATTTATCATCCATTGTCTAAGTGGATGTTTTCAATTATTAAACAAAAAGTACTTTGTCAGATTTACTTCGGCGCCGCTGCTCCGAAACTTTAAGGTCAACTTAGTTTCACTCACTTCAATCACGGACCCCCTTCTGCTCAAGTACCTGGAGAGCTGCAGCACTTGAGCAGAAATCAGCCTCAGCAGGTGGCGTGCATGGGTAATTATGTTAATTGGGTCAATGTGTGCAGTGTTTATACATTGCTTGATGGCGCTCGCAAAGTTGAGTGTTTACTTTGGAGCAAACAAAAGTCGAGAGACTCTTGTTTCCGACAGAAAGACTGCTGATGTCGGAAACTCACAGAATCGCAGACTCTGATGCAGGTTCTGCAGCGAGAGACAGAGGCGACGTTTGCTCACCAACCAACATCCAACAGAAAGGACTGAATTTAGAGATTTTTGTAAGGAATGCAAACCGAATACTGACACTTATTAGTAGGATTTCACCGCCTATATTCCTTCTTTTGTCCTGATTTAGAGCTAAAAAACATTCTATCTTCACCGCTACACTTAGAAATATTGCCGTAAAGTTAAAGGTGTTGGGATTTATCACCAACTCTGCAGCTCCACTGAGCCTGTTAGCATCTGTTAGCTCATTGTTTTGGTAGTATGTGCTCTCATCTTTCTCGATTTCTGTAGAAAAATGCTCAGACAGACACTACCTGCCCAGCACCAAACACAAGGCAGACAAAGTTTGCAAATAGGAAAGAAGTGCATTTTGCTGTAAAAGTATCAGTAGTGACCAAACCAGAGCTAAAAGTAGAGCAAAGTGAGGCTTCTGATGAGTTCTTTAGCCCCCAAGTGGCCAAAAAAAACCCAAATCACTATATTAGGAAACAGGTTTGTCTCGCCCAGATGCAGATGAAAAGATTAATATCGCTTTTATCTCTGCGTGAGTCCACTTCACAAGCAGGTACCGTGGTTCAGCCGAGCTCAGAACAAAGACGCAAAGCAGCTGAGCTCCACCAACAGTAAAAAGAAAAAAGAAAAAGAAATAGATTATGAAAATGTCTTATGTGTTGTTTCCTGTTCTTTTAATATGTAAATGAAAATCCCAGTTTCTTCTTCTTCCAGTCTTGTGGCGAAACACATCCTGAACTCAGACGCTAAAAATTTCCTGCAAACTTAATTCCTAAATGTCAGCTTGTGGCTTTAAACTCGGTTATTGTATCTCACTATCGTCTCTTTTGTTACGAGGACATTTGAGCAACCTAAGTTCAGACGTACAGCAACACACACACACTCACACACACACACACACACACACATTGAAGAGCAGTGGTTACCATGGTATCCAGGCCAAGAGTCAGGAGCATGAGGAAGAAGATGATCGCCCAGAAAGGAGACAGAGGAAGTCTGGTCAGAGCCTCTGGATACACCACGAACGCTATGCCTGGACCTGAAACACACACACACACACACACACACAGATACACACAGGTATATGTATTTATGTAAATGAGGATGCACACACACACACACACACTCGTATGTTTGAGTGAGCAGCGTTGGTCTGCTGCTGCTGCTGCTGCTGCTGCTGCTTCCTGCTGCTGGTTTGCTTCTCTTACCTTCATCTGCCACCTTCTCTATGGGCACCTTCAACTCGTGTGCCATGAAACCAATGACCGAGAAGATGACAAACCCGGCAAATATACTGGTGGCGCTGTTCGTACACGTCACTATTATAGTGTCCCTGCAAAGGGGGGAAAAAATGAGGAAGGAGAGAAAAAGAAAACGAGAAGCTAAATGAGCAAACTGACTGTTTTGTGACTGAAATAGTTTTTGCAAAATTTAAAACATGTGTTCATGTTCGTGTGCTCTTTGATTTGATGCAGGACATCAGATACACACAGATAAGAGATCCAACAGTGGCCTCTGGTGGCAGGAATTAAAACAGTCTGCAAGTACAGGGCTCTTAAAGGTGTTAGGCATTTACAGGAGATGGACACAAGGTGGTGCACTGATTTATACTGTACAAAAAAATACACAACTGTCCAACAAAAGCACAAACTGCTGCCTCGCTAACGGAGTTGACGTCTCCTACACGGTTTACAAAAGCTGCAAGATCAGTTTTAATGTGTTTTAAAGCGAGTGTGACGAAGTGCTTTCTAATAGAGAAATAAGATTATTATACACATGGATTCTAAGTTTACCCAACAAGCTAAAATATAAAGGTTAAGACCTGAAAATAATATAAGTGTAGTAGAAATTAATTTGACTAATTTACATAATAAAGTTAAGATCAACATTATTATATATAAAATTAAAAGATAAGAATGTTGATATTTTATTCCAAAATTTTTAGATTTTCTGTTTTAAAAATTCTTATTATTTACCGACAACAACAACAACAATAATAATATATTTATTTTATTTTATTTTATTTTATTTTATTTTAGTCTGCCTTTATTTTATCCACCTTTTATCACTTCAGTATTTATTATTTTCTTATTTTGCTATTCGTAATTTTTCAAAGTATTTTATTTTTGCAACGCAAGACGAGCCAGTTATATCTGTACAGCACATAATGGCATCTCCTCACATCCTCAGTCTCTGCTTTAGTGATTCTTTCCTTTACATGATCATGTTTTTAGCTTTTTCTTTATTCTTTTTGCTCTGAAAAGCACTTTTTGTTTCACTTTAAATGTTTGGAAAGAGCTAGTTTATACTATATTTGCCAGGCTAATTTAAATATGGACTTAATATAATGTAAATATGGCAATAATATAATACCATATAAATACTGACTTAAACATTAAGGTCATGAACCTACAATAGTACATACTGTATGAATTGACCTCACTAATTTAGATATAAACATTAAGACCCCACAGAAAAACATTGAAAACCCAACAAATCCAAAGATTCATTATGAGCCAGTATATCTGCGACCTAGAGAGGAAGTAAATGTGTCGCTCCTTTCTTTTGTGCATTTCTCTACATAGAGGGCCTTTTACATTTTTATATTTAAGTTATAATCACAGTTGCAATCTACATCTTCACCTCTAGATGCCACTAAATCCCACTTTTACAGATTTATGACACATTAAATGAACTATATTTCTATTTAATCACAGATGTTCGGTGCATTCAGGTCTGTGCAGTTCTGTCTTTGTATGTTTTGGACTCATTAAGAATGTGATAAATAAAACGGTTTAAGACTTTAAGTAAGACAAAGTAAAAGAAACACTGAACTGCTGGCTGCAAAGAGACATTTATTACAGACACTTCTATCAGACATACAGATCCATTATGCATCATGCATCTGTGGTGACAGTTTGAATTTGTCTGCCAGAAGCATAGTTTACCTTTTGAGTGTTTACCTGTAGCAGTTATTGTGGAACTTATTGTAGGAGGAGAGCGTGATGAGGCCTCCCCAGGCAGCCGACAGGGAGAAGAAGATCTGAGTGGCTGCATCTTTCCACACCTGAGGAGGAGGAGGAGGAGAGCAGCTGCAGGTAACGAGCAAGAAAAGGCAAAACCCGGAAAGTCTTCTGCTGTTTGCATATTCATGGGATTAAATGAGCACGAGTCAGGTACCTTTGCATCGTTAAGTTTCTCCCATTTTGGTGTGATAAAGTAGAGGATGCCGTCTCCGGCTCCTGGGAGGGTCACTCCTCTGATCAGAAGGATGACCAGCACCACGTAGGGGAAAGTGGCAGTAAAATAAACCACCTGAGCACACAGAGGACGAGATGAAGCACAATCAGGGAGAGAAACACTAAACAGGTGATCACAATCAAGCAAAACACTTTTAGTTACATTAATATTTCTGCACTTTTCTGATGTTTTACTATTGAGTCATTTTTTAAAAAGACTGTTCTTGTGTGAAAGAACTGCTCAGGCTGTTTCTGTGTATGAAACACACAATAAATGGAACATTACAGTAAAATCACATGTATTTGAGAGATTATCTCCTGTAAGTATCAGCTCACTGTAATAGATATCAACATTTTACCTCACAAAATGCCCAAATGTACATGATACCCTCCAACAACTATGTCTCTTAGCTGACTGTGTTACACATCAGCTCTACGTCCAGCAGAGGGCAGCACAACACAACTATTCTGTCTCAATCCTCCTGGTCACGTTGAGTCACATGTAAAATGCTTTGTTCTGCATGTTGTCTTTCCCAAAACAAAGATAAAACTCTACAGTTCACTTGTTGACAGACAGCTGGCATATAAAGTAAAACTATTTTAAATATTTCAGTTGGGAAACAGTAATAATCATCACTCTGATGTTTGGTTCATCTTCTCTGCTGTGGGAGAATAAAACTCTGTCCTGGCAGCAGGTGAGTCTCGTGGTGTTTTTTCATAATCCAGTATAAAAAAAAACAAAAAAACTGCTGCACTTGTCAGACATTGTTAACCCCTTCTCAAACTTTTTTTTTTTCTGAAGCAGTCTGGAATGTAAGGTAAAGGGTGATTTCATCGCCTGTACAAATGAAGTTGGAGTTTTACAACAATTTATCGAGTGTCAAGTGTAAATCCTTACAACTCCATTTAAATCTTAGGTAATTTGTGACGGGACAGACAAGTATTTTTTTTTTTTTTGGCCTTTCATTGAAATATAAAAACAAAAAGGATTTTAACCAAGTGGCAGCCTCTGGTGCTGAGAAATGAAGCCAATGTTGAGGAGCCAAAGGCAGTTCCTTGAATGACCACTAGAGACTGATTCTAAAAGTGAGTCAATCTCCACAGAGACACATGTTAAACTAACTAACTTTACAGCTGAAATATAAGCATTTACAGCCTGGCACAAAAATGGCTTTGCCTTCAATGGCTACTTTCCTTATTTTTGACAACTGTACAGGGGTGAGCTTATATTTAACTCACTTGTTGAAGTTATATTAAGGCTTAAAGTTATGCATAATGAAGGCCATGACCTGTCTGGGCTCCACTCAGACTCATTTTCCTTGTTTATTTTTGGATTAACCAGGAGTTAGGCAGAGCTAAGTGCTGCCAAGATGGCAATGGCCGCCCCCACTACACAGTACATAGTGTTTCAGACAAACAATCAGAATATTGGCTGTTTTGTATTGTGCCTTTAACTTTGATCCTTACAGTCTGCAGTGCAAAATGAGCTGTCATCATGCACTGTCTGGGGGTTAAGCTTGCTTGTATGGATGACACTGTAGGTTAAAATGGCCAATAGCGCATATGCTGGCTTACATACTGCAAAATCTGACTGGATGTATGAAGGACATCCTGGTATTTTCTGCATACTGCATTTAACACACTATATATTGGGACTTACTAAATCTTTTCAGGGCAGAATGGCAGAGAAAAATATAAAAATCTTTACATTTGAAGGCAAAAACTCATGTTGGCACTCAGGGAACTATGATGAGACAGATTATATAGAGTATAAATGAGGAAATAAAAGATTCAGTGTAAGTTAAACTGAACTCTGAGTATTTAGCCTTGAGAACCCAACTCTGTTGTTTGGAAACAAGTTTTTTCTTTGCCAAGCACCATCACTTCTTGTGTGTGACATGTTTCCCCACTAGATGGCGCTTTGATCACTGAAGTAAATGTGCTGAAGAAAAGCTGAAAGCACCTCCAGTGAAGCCTCTGCAGCTGAGCAGAGCTGCAAACATGATGCAGACAGAGATCAGAGGGTTAGTTTCTGCGTTCTCTTACTTTGCCTGATGACTTGATTCCTTTGGCTAAAGAGGCGTAGACGATGATCCAGGCCAGGAAGAGACATCCTGCCAGGGGCCAGCGGATGTCTCCGGGATATTCAATCCCTTTAGAAATGTGCAACACATTGTACCTGCAGAGGAGAGTTAAACTGTGAAAAAACAAGCCTGAAAACAAATCTTATTAGAGCTATAGAGGGAAAACATTAAACACCGTAAATCCTTCATTTATCAAGTGGTTTATGTTCATTAACAAGTTCCCAAGTCACAGTTCTCACCATGAGAATGTATGATTACTAGCTGTAAGATTATTTCAACCAGTTTCCAACATAAATCAACTTAATTACAAAAGTCATATACAGCATGGTCATTACTTTTCTTGATTTATTTGCAGAGGGTCGCCTTACTGTGTTTCAAGATACAGCAATCCGTTTAAAGAACGTCACCGAAAAATGATGCATCTGTTTGGATTTTTGCTGCAGTACATGTACTTTATATTGAGATTAGATAATTAGATTTAAATGTTGAGGGTTTTTTTTTTACTTTTTCTGAGAACATAAAACCTCAGAATTGGAGTGTAGAATTAAAACATTTCGTGGTTTTCTTACAGACACAGTTTTAGGTTGTGTGATTTTCTATCAAAAGGAATGAAGCAGATTTTAAACAAGTATTAAAAAATGTTAACTTTAAACATTAGAAATCTTTCACTGATGCCAACTGATGCTGTTTTGAAGGCCCTAGAAGGCAAAATTAACTTTAAAAAATCTCCATTTTATCTCTAATCTGGACACAAAATGAATCCTGTGAACCAAAATGTGCACATCTAATTTTTATTTCTGTAAAATCTCCTTTTTGATCAGGCGGACTCACTTGAAGTACTCCTCACTGGGGCTGACGTAGGTCTTGTTGCCGTCCATGGTCACGTTGAGCAGCTTTGTCAGGTTTCCCACAGCGTTTGCGGACAGACAGAAACTGGAGTTCTTGATGGACGTGATGTTTCTGTCCCGCAGGATGCACGTGTCTGTTCCAATCAGAAACCAACACACGTCAACTGGGGAGAGACTGGCAGAGTGCTGCTGTGGGACACAACTTACTGCCTGCTCAGGTTCTCACACTGAAAGTGAAGCCGGAGCGAACAGATGGAGCTGATTTACTGAAAAGGAAAGCGGCCTGACAGGAGGCTGCTGCTGCACCGGGGAAAGACCTGGAGGCAGCAGAGTGGAGCCTCAGGACGCACATGAATTCTTTCAGACGTACAGCCGCATTTTAACAACATAAACGCTTCTGTGCCTCATTTGATTAAAAAATAAGAAAACCTACTTCACTTTTAAACATTTTTACATGCAAAAATGAGCAGCATCTTGCCTTTTTATGACTCAGGTTTCTTAAATTATGCTTCAAATACATGCAGACGATGCTAATAAACAATCTTGATAATATTGTATGTGCACAAAAATAAGAGACTTTTCTGTATCTGTATGAGCTGGACAAACGAGAACAAACACTTGGCTTCAAAAATTTGCATTTTAAAGAAGCATTATGACATCTTTCTGACAATATTGCAAGATCACAGGGTGCACATAAGGATTATTTTGCAGGGTTTGTGCGCTGCATTGCAAAACTGTTTGAATCTAGTAAATGTGCAAAATGTGAACATGCAATTAAAACATTTAAGGTTCGAAACTTGCCGTTATTTTTATTCATATTTGCATTGTGATTATTTAGATTTTTCTTTTTTTCTTTTTGTGTTTTCTCATTCATGGAGAGAGAGAGAGAGTGATAGAGAGACTACAGTGTTGAATGCGCTGCGGTTCGTGCTGCAGCCAGCAGGAGTCAGTCTCGGGCTCACTGCAGCACTGCAGCAGCTCCGTCTGTACAGTAAATTTGTCAAGCAAGCAGTTTTTGTGCTGATTTCACAGAAGCGCTAAAGGCAAATATCACGCAAACTGAGCCCAATTTCGACTTTAATTCGACGCAGATCGACGCCAAACGCCTCCCCTGCTCCTGTTTGCACGTTTTCCCCTCAATCAAACACACGATTTCTTTCATAGTTTGATATTAAAAACAAATTGAACCCACTACACATTACTCCAGCTGCAGATTTAAAGCATAAAGCACTGCCGCAATCTGACATTATCACACGGAAAAAATAATGGAAAATGTGAGAAGAAAAGCGTTTATTTTTAGGGATGATCCGTCACGCTGAGGCCCTGCTGCCATGCTATTGGGCCTGTGGCATTAAAAATAGATCAAGCAGATAAATGAGGTGCTCTGAAAGTGAAAACACCGCAGAGATCACAGGTCAGGATTCATTATACTGCAGGACACCTCAGCTGAGGGAGTCATGACGCATTGCGCATTGTGGAGAGAGAGGTGCTTTTAGTGTGTGTGAGAGTGTGTGAGTGTGTCTGAAGGTGTGTGTCTTACCTAACAGCAGCATGTCTTTGTCCTTACATTCCACCGTGTTCCACTCATTCCTACAGTTAGCCCATGGCAGTGAGCCCTTCAACGAAGCGAACAGGTAGTACAGTGTCCAGCACATTATAATATTATAGTATATGGCTATCAAGACAGATATTATCAACATGGCAATCCCGCAACCTAAAATAAATAAATGAGACGAAATATATAAATTACTCTTAAGGAAAGTAGAGAAACTCGTGATGATAAGAGAATGAAAAGAGATTTATTTTTGTTTCTGTCAGCTGATCAGTGGTGCCAGTTTACCTTGCAGAGCTGGGATGCATTTCCAAACTGACACGGGCCCCTGGCTGGCAAACTGGCCCAGGGAGACCTCCATCAAAAAGATTGGGATCCCGGCGATGCCCAACATGGTCAGGTAGGGGATCAAAAAAGCTCCTGTGAGGAGATTAAACAGCAGGCTACAGAGCGCAGCTTCACAAAAGCCCAAAAACTAACAGCTTTAAAATAAAAATAAAATAATTTGGAAGCACTAAAAATTACAGCAGGCTATGGACGATTACAGAAAACAATAAAATAATGAAAAAGTTATAGGATTTGGGGCTTTAGAATATAGAATAAAATATAATTTACATTAATAATATTAAAGATAGTAACAATAATAACAAAGCTAGCAGCTTCTATAGTAACTGACTGATATAAAAACAGAATTTTGCGCATTTTTTTTCTAGTACATTTATTTCTTTTCAATTCTTTATGAAAATAATCACTGAACAAATAATCTATTTGAAGTATTTTTAATGCTATTCTTCGCCTGGTTAAAGGCCTAATAGGCTAAATGACAGGAATAATTCAAACCCTGATTTAAATTCGATTTCCTGAACTGATTTTTTTGTTTGTTTCTGTGCTCGGGGGGAAAAAATAGAAGAAGCTGACCCATGCACAACTCTTACCTCCACCATTTTGGAAGGCAAGATAAGGAAACCTCCACACGTTTCCCAGTCCCACCGCATAGCCCACCATGGACAGAATAAAGTCCAGTTTATTGGACCAGTTTCCTCTGGCCTTATTCTCATCTCCCCCCTCGTCATCATCGTCAGCCTGAGAGGGAAACACATGCATTCATTCTCCAAAGTAAAAAAAAATAAAGAAAATGAAATAAAAACGCAGCTCTAAGACTTAGAATAATTACTCAACCTGGGCCTGAATGACGGCATTTATTACCTTAATAATAAAAATATGAGTCTTTAGTCGAGCATCAACAAAACGCAATCACATTTTGGGGGTTTTATGAGCTGCGCAGAATGAGTTTGTCACATTTATTTTACTTACATGAAGACACCTTTAAATATTTTCTGTATTTATTCGAAAATGCAACAAAATCTTGTCAGAAAATAGACGATAGTGTAATTAATTATCCCTTTGTTCATTAAAAATATAAACTGTACTTCATTTTAATTTTGAAAGAATCCGATTTTCCAAAGAAAAGCATGTCCATCCCATAAAACTCCTCCTCAGCTGCACCTGCAGGCCCCAAAAACCGCTTCAAATCACATCACAAATTTCAGATGCAAAAATGAAAAAACCCTCAATGAAGGATTTCTGTTAGTACGAGAACAACAAATATGTAACTACAGCTGCACAGCAGGATCTCACCGAGCAGATTCATAAAACAGACTGCATGAATATTCACATTCATAAACAGCACAGTGCGTGGGAATGTGTGTGTGTGCTGCGAGTGTGTGTGTGTGTGAGGTGTGGGATGCCCTCGCAGGGATTGGAAACAATCCGCAGTCTCTTGTCTATCAGCCGGATAACACCTGGGCTTCTGGGCCATACCAAGTGTCTTCTGCTGGCAGCGGGGAACACCGACAAATACCGCGAGAGTATGATTCCCTTTATCTTTAAGCACATTACAACTGTGCGCACAAATCAAGCACAGGAAATAAACAGAAATATTTATGTATTTTAATACATGTAAAAAGGTTACTACTTCAGGGCGCACTGCTGATCTAATAATTACTCACACTGATCGATACATGATCAATCTGTTTGGTTTCCCTGATATTTAGCTGACATAAGCGGTTTTGAAAGTTTTGACGAGGCTGCTGCAGAGGGATGGAGACAGAGCTGGACGCTGCGCAAAGCGGAGGAAGCAAACGGTTTAGCTAAAGTACTGCACATGCAGGAATTCAGCGTTTGGGGTTTGAGCATCAGCTTTTAAACACTGTACAATTTACAGCCGCATTAACATTAACATGGACACTGTGCGTAAATGCACCATTATTATGTGGCCTTGTTGAAACCTTAACAAATAATCAAACATACACTGAAGATTCAGTTTTTTCATACAAAGAATTATGTTAAACACATCCTCTCTATGTTATGGCCTCACAATGATTATTCCTTTTTAAGCTGTGATCACACTGTGGAGCCACAAGCTTCCACTGATTCAGCTCGGGACTTGTCGAGCTACAAAGGAACACTTTTACGCATCGGTGCGGTGCCAAAACCACAAACCACCACCTGGAAAATCTCATGTTTAAGGGACATACATCACAGCTCCAAACCCTCTGAATCAACAGCACTGATCAACCAAAGGTCTGCACGGCGCTCCCAGGGGTTTGCACCTTCCCTGTCTGGAGGCAGCAGGTTAATCCAGTCAGCTGTCTGATCAGCGACACGCTGGAACATCCACCCTGCACCTGCTTCCAGCCGCTCCGCTCTCACACCGGCCGCTCTCCGTTAAGGAAACGGTTCATTTAGCTGACTTACCCCCGCCACGGTTCCAGGCTGAACAGACGTGTTTCCATCTGTTCCCAGTACGATGGTGGTCTGGCTCATAGTCGTCCAGTTGCCAGTGGTGTTGTTCTGCTCTGTGGTGGCCCGGAGCGGGTCGCCGTACAGGGCGGACCCCCCACGGGCCGAACCGACGGAATCCTTCCTGAAGACCGAATTGGCGGCCACGGATCCAGGCACCGCCGGCGGTGGGTTTTTAAACGTCCCATATGCTTTATTGGCGTCCGGTTCTCCCGGTTTATTTTCCGTGGGACAAAAAGTTTTGTTCTCGTTGCAAGGAGGCGGCGGCTGAGGCGCCGGGTGATGGTGAGGGGCGGGCGGCGGGCACGCAGCCGTGTTGTCCGGTTTGTTTGTTGTAAGTCCCGCAGCTCCGTCGGGCTGCTGCTCCGGGATGTAGCCAGTGGGAGCGCTGGCCGGTTGTTTGGCCATGTCTCTCTGGTCAGAGAAATCCTGGAACATGGGAGTGACAGATCAGCGAGACAAAAAAGCGTCAGAACGGCACAAACCGTGGAGCTGTGAGGCTGCTGCAGCCCATCTCTGCTCCGGGACTAAATAAAAAATGAATTCTCTTTCTGCTACGTTTTTCTGCAGTGTGTTGTGGCTCTGGCTGCTCTATAGTTTCAGCTCAGTGTCTGCCGGGTGTGTTGCTGTGTGTGTGTGTCTGTGCTCTGTGCTCTGTGAGTGTGTGTGTATGTGTGTGTGTTGGAGGGAGGGGGTTGCTTTGCTTCTCCAGTTCTCGCTTTCTGCAAGATTCTTTAATTTTACGCCCCATTTCCCCCTCATGTCATTCAGCCACACACATCCACTGATTTTTATGGGCAATAGACAAGCTGCTGCGGGTCTGTCGGTAGCTTCGCTCTCCCCGCAGGCATGCAAGATCACCGGCGTTACAGCAGTGAGCGGACCCGGGGCGGCGGAATTACAAATGACTCCCTAAAATGTAACTTTGAAAGGGGGGGACGGGAAAGCGACCGTAAAGCCTCTAGATTTAAGAGAAAAAAAAAAAGAAAGAAAAAATATTGATTGATTAATGCTTAGTTGTGTTCTTAATTAGGCTTAGTGGGTGGAAAAATAACCACCTGGCTTCTGTCTAAATCGATAAAAAACGAATTAATAAAAAGGAAAAATAAAGAAAAAAGAGAAAGAAATGAGGTACGATGAAGTAAAATCAACTTTTTCCTGTTTAAACTTGTAAAAAGCTCAATTACGCGCCTTTACAGGAGAAAAACAAGCTGAGTGGGGAGAAAAAATAGTGAAGAAAGTTTTTTTTTGTCTAAAGCCAGAGCCGCATTTCAGCACCACGGACAGAGAAAGAGCATCAGCTGCTGTGGAAAAGTGTCAAAATCACAAGAAAGTAAAACATCTCAACAATGCAGAAGCAAGTAAATGTGGAAAAGTGAATAAAGTGAATCAGTGCACTTACCATTTTTTTTGCAGAGCTCTGCTGGCAGGCTGGAAACAGCTGTAAAAAGACGAGGAGAGGACTGGAAGCGGACTGGTTGTAGCTGCGCAAAGCACCAAGTGCAAAGCTTTTCTATAGCTCCGTGGGAAAAGAGCGGAGTTTGCGTCAGTGCAGAGCAAGGTGCCCTTCGCGTGACATTTTCTTGATAATAGGAGTTTGATAAATCATTGGCCTTGGATTTGGATTTTTAAAGGGACAACCGGAGCCAAGACGACGTGGGCGCGTGTGTACGTGCGTGAAACCGTGTGTGTTCTGGTTACGCACGTTGCATGCGTGAGCGCAGGACGGACCCTTCCAAAGCTGATTAATACACTTGTCTCTGGGGATGTGTGGGATGCTTACACACAAACATCCCACATGATCACACGCAGCTCGTTTGAGAGAAAGATTTCCGGGTTTGGACTATTATTGGAAAAATCTAATAGGCTGCGTCTGAGTGGATGCGGGTCTAAATAATGTTTGCACGGTGCTGAGTTGGAGTTTTTCTGGTACAGTTGCAATTACAGTAACAACACTGGGGTTTTGTTTTTATAGAAAAAACTGCTCTTTTCTGTCCTATAACATTGAGGCCTGCAAACGGCTGCAACTACACTCTATAGAAGTTATCAGCTGTACAGCAAAGATGAGGCCGTATCTCATAGTTACTATCATATAGTTATCTATATTTAACAACTAGACACACGTGCATTTTTTGTTCTGAAAAGTTGTATAGGCTAAGCAAAAAAGACAAGGTGCTAAAAATGGTCTGAACTATAAATAGTTTTTCCACTTGGCGGGTTTTACGCACAGCGCGCTCCAGGCTCTGTACGTTCCTTCGTGCGTCACCGATAGGAGCATTGATCAAGTAAAAAAAAAAAAAGTGGGCGAGGTCTTTATAAAGCTACTCATTTGTTAAAGTCTTACGCAACACGGAGGCATTTTTTTCTATGAAATCACGTGTGTCAGGAGGAACCGGAGCCAACCACTGGAGCTGCACTGGAAGCAGTGACAGAGGAGGGGGGAAGGTGCCACACTGTAGATCCGAAAACACTGCATTGCGCATAGCATTCTCCAAGTTTCTATTCAAACAGATAACGCATCCACAAGTCCAATGTATGGCGATTTTTCCAAAAACTAAAAACGACACATGGGACTTCCTTTACTCCACGAATTACAGATAATTAAGTTAATTTTCAGGCTGTATCTTCAGGCCTTCATACTGTCGAACATCGCACAGAGTCCTGGAGGAGCTGAAGGCCAAGACAAAAGAGATGAACTGACTTCCTGTTGACTAAACTTTTTTTTCCCAGCAACATAGAAATAATTTTGCTAAATAAAGCGGAATAGCTTCGGCCTCCTTAATTGAACTGAAAAATAACTAGTTAGGAGTGTACGTTGTTGCCAAGCAACCACGTTGTCTAGCTAGCCAGCTGGGCCCATTGGTCCAGAACAGGCGATAAAAGCACGTGGACCAATAATAATAATAATGATAATAATGATATAATAATAACTAACATTCTAGAATAACTATAATTAACACTGGGTATATGCTTGTATGTAGGAGCTAAAATCTTTAGGCTATGTTGATTTTAATTTTTAATTTTTTTGCTTCTACGTTTAACTATGTGTTATAAAGGCAGGAAGCGGTGCCTAACATTTAAAATTAAAAAACGAAAACAAAAAAAATGTAACCAAATCATATTTTTATATTTTGCGCAATAATCCAAACTCCAAAAAAATACACTCACTGGCCGGATTTTTTCTTGAACAAATCAAAAATCTTCGTCTATATCCCAATTTTTCTTTTTCTGCAGGTTCATTAAAAATGATGCAGGGTTTTGACTCTCTGTCCTGATTGACTCCAGGCCAGCGGAGGAGGCGCGGATCAGTCTCTCCTGCTGGGATCACTGGGAACACCGGGACACGCACACTCCCACTCGGGGCCCCTTCACTTACTATGCATGCTGCGCTCCCTGCGCTTGTAAATCTCCGTCCGTTCCAGATAAGAGGCTGAAGCGGGTGTATTAGCCGCCGCCTTGAGTTTAATTACATTGTCAACAGAGAATAATTGTAATTGATTTCTGCTCCTCTTCCAGAGACCGCTGAACTGACACACACATACGGGCAGGCAGCATGGCCAACACATCCAGATTTGATTCTCATGAGGCGTTTAAATGTTTCATTGAAAAAAAAAAAAAAAAAAAAAAGGTTTGGAGAGTTTTACGCACAAGCAGCGATGGAAAGACATCACAGTGACAATTAGATTAGTTATAGGCTCTGGTCGTTTATCTGTTTAATTTAACCTGGACTTCACTGTATCCCCAGTAAACTCAACTTGTCTTTGGGGTCTCAATTTTTGGTTTCCACTTGGTGCAGACTAAATCATGATGGAGGAGGTGAACTAACTGCCTCGCCGGAGAGGAGGAGGAGGAGGAGGAGGAGGAGGTGGGGTTCCGAGTGTCTCCTCGTTAATTACACGAGCTCGTGTAATTAATTGATCACTCCCTCTGTCGCCTGAGTGATAAGAAGCCGCATCCATTTCAAGCGCCTGGAAAGCAGTGATTCAGCGGGAGGAGGTCATCCAGAGGCGCACGGCTCCCATTATCATCACCATCAACTCCTCCAGCAGCAGCAGCAGCAGCAGCGCGGCCTGACGGAGCCTTCACTTCAACTTGGGCCCATCATTCGTGCGACTGCCTCAGAAAGAAGCAGTTAAGATGTTCTGTAATTGGACTAATAATGACTGTTCGAGCAGCTATTTCGCTTTAAACAAGAGCACATTTCTCTGAGCTCCCAATTTGCATGAGGATGAGGTTTTCAGAGGGTTTTCAGGGACAATGTGGACCAATCACATGCCATGGAGCTAATCTAAAACCAATCTGAATCAGTTTGGGGGAAACTACAAGTTAAATTAAACAAAAGGTGCAGATATTTAGACCTTTTCCACAATAAATAATTACATTTTCCATTATGAAATATATTTGAGGTGCAAAAGATTAATAAAACTGACTGTTAATCAAAATGGGCAGAACTTCTAAAGCACAGCTACTGTTGAGATGTTTAGATGACACTTCTGTGAGACCAGAAACATCACTAATATCTGCACTTTAGGCAGCTCCTTAAGGGCACTTTTAAGATTTTCAAACTCTGCAGAATCAGTCTTTTTTAATTAGTTTCTTGTCATGTACATCAAAGGATACGTCAGTGCCAGTTCATTTAGCAAAGAGCACATCCTGAGATGTCAGCACGGAGCTGCAGGAATTCAGTGAGGCTTTTAAAAAAAAGTCTGTGTGGATTGGTCTCAGTCATCCAGGTAGCGCGGCATCTGTTCAAAAGCGACACTATTCAATGGACTGTGGTTAAAGAGTTGACAAGATATTTAAGATATAACAACAGCTCGGTGGATAGTTTCCTCCTGACATAACTTTTAACAGCTTTTCCTGCACAGAGGAGCCTGTGTTCTTGTGCCCTGTTTGAGGTCAGCATGCAGCCCAGACTGTATTAATAAAATGGCAGAGAGGACACAGAAGCAGTAGAAATACATCAGAAGATGTGACTGTCAAATCAGCAATGAGACAGGCAGCCAGCCTCACAGTCTGCTCCTCCTCCTCCTCATAGACGACTACACACTCTCTCCGAGTTCAGGATTCATCATTTCGGGCACAGAAGGAAGGATAGAAGGAAAGAAGCTTTAATTGTAAGCAGAGCTGCTCAATGAAGTATGTAAAGAGGCTTCAGTCAGCCTTTTTAAAGCTTAAATTCATTTTTGCATTGTCCCAGTAAACTCACAGAAGATGGATGATGCCCCTGGTTAGATCTCACGCAGCTCAAAGTAGGACAATAAGAAGGAGAAACGCCCGGCAAAGGTACAAAATGTCTTTAATAAAGAACAGCCAGGTCCCTGAGCCTTTTGTTCAGCTGGACGTTTTGATCAGGAAGTGATGCACATGAGAAACGGTGCACGATGAGAAGCTTCTGAATCACTATAAGGTCGTGCCTGAGCTAAACTCTGTTTAAAAGTTAATCATTTCCACACATCAGTAGGTTACTTATGCATTTGCTTCAGGGTTTTGGCACTTTTGGCACATTTTGCGACAGATTTAGTTTTAAATGGATAAAACAGGGATTTGGCACATCAATCTACCTCTATACCAATCAAATCAAATGTGGTTGCATTAATTATACGCCTAGAACTTGGCTTGTGTCCCTCTTTGGCAAACAGAACTGACCAAGCACACACCAGCGTTTGGTCTCACGGGTCACACAGCTCGCCAGGACAAAAACCAAACCAGAAAATCTAACAAACTCGTTGTGGAACTTTGTGATAAAACAGTGGTGTGTTATAAATCAGCACGATGGTTTTGAAGGCTTTGGGTGTTCCCTGGAGCACAGCGGTACCCAGAGTTAAAGTCCCTCTGTCAGTGAGGCACCTTAAAAGACCTTTTAGAGGAGAACTCTACAGAAATGGGACAACCTGCCAGTAAGACGACCACCTTCAAACAGTTCTTCATAACACAGGAGCTAAATGGAATCCACTCTGAGTAAAAGACACGATAGCCTCCCTGGAGTTTGTCAAGCAGAATTTAAAGGATCCTGTGAGTGTGAGGAAAAAGACTCTGAAACTGAAGGTTTAGGGCAGAACACTACTAATAGCATCCCTATAGGGAAACCCGGCAGTAGCAGCATCATGCTGTGGGGGCGTCTCAGTAGAAGGGTCGATCAGATTGGTCAGAACTGAGGAGAAGTCCTTAAAGAAAACCTGTGTGAGAGTGCAGCAATGGTTCACCTTTAGTATGACAATGACCTGAAACATGAAGGCGAGACAACAGCAGAGGGGCTTTAAGGTGAGCGGTCCAGGTCATATCTAGGTGTGCAGAGCCTGAAGAGACGACTTAGAAATACAGCTGCTGTCTACGGGGTTTACAAACAGCTGAATTAAAGGTGAGAATGGGCTGTTCTTGGTTTTAGAGTAACCAATAAGCAAATTAAAAAATGTCAGGGACTCGTTTATTGAGGTTAAACACTTGATTTTCTATTTAAATCAACAGCGATATATAAGTGGGCATAAGGGAGAAGGGTCTGAACACTCTCGGGTGTGTGTATATGACTGTAAATGTATGAACGTGTAGGTGTAATAAATATGTATTTCACAATAAATGAGAGTCCCTGGAATGGCTTTAAAACAAATAATTATTTGTAGTTTAGTGTAGCTGAAGTTGTGTACAGTACTGACAAGGAGGAAATATCAAATGACTTTGTTTTTTTATTACAAGAAAGAGAAACAATCCTAACATTTTGTGGGAACAGAACTTAAAAAGTTGCCTGTATTGGTCTGTTGATGTACCACGTGACGGCCGACGCTATTGAAGGCTGTAAGTCTGCTTCCTGTCTCGGAGGTCAAAGGTGACCAACAGTGAGCGAGGATCCTTCTTGTTTTTACGGACCATGATCTTCCCCTGGAGCTCCTCTCCTACGGAAAAACAGAAAGAAGAGCAAGAAACAGCAAGAAGAAATAAATATTAGCATCGGTACACTGTTTGACATTGGAGCAAGCAGTCACTTCACTGGAGAGTCCGGTGAGCTTAAAGGTGCACTAATATGGAGTTCTGGCTCACAATCATCCATCCAAACCTTCTACAAAAGCAGAACTTTGTTTTACTAAAACAAACGTTAAACACAAGAACCTGTAGAAGCTAACGATTTATATTAGACTCGGAGAATCACTGTGAGGAGAACTGAAGCTGTGGCACAACACCTGACTACAACATTATCTGTTTCCTTTAATCTGTCGTCGTCTGGATATGAGTCTAGTCAAAAAAACAACACAAAAATAGACAACTGAGTGCAAACAAGGTAGACAGTCAGCCAGAGAGAAGTAGTTTTGTCTTTAAGAGTTCTAGTTTCTAACAAAGGTGGGACGCAGTGGACCAGAGCAGAAAAAATAACGATATAATAAGAACCAATCTTTTTCTTTGGGAGGCCATTTATTCTGCACTTTCCATATTGTCAACAAACTACATGTTAAAGACCAAACCCAAGTTCTGGTGTTTTATACTTGCTTCAGTGGAGACCAATTACATTCTGCAAACTGATCCACGTTTGCTCCTGTGCACTATTTTCCCAACAGGTTGTTTAAGAACAAGTGGGTGGATGTTGTTTCTGTTCCCGCAGCAGCAATAATTAACACTGGAGTTCATTTGACAACAATCCTCTGCATGTCGTTAGTCAAAACTTGTGCTTGTCAGACTTCAGAAAAAAATATGAAAGCGTTTCACTGAGTCAGACATTGATCAGAAGAGAGAGAAATGCTCATAAATAGAAGTCTTCCCGATGCCCTGCAGCAGTACAGGGCTGCTGAGCTCAGGCCTCTGCAGCACGAGCCGAGACGCACTGGCGCTTACAGAAATGATGATGTGTGTGCAAAGGCAATGTGGTTTAATGTATGTTAATAAGCGAGTGTGTGCGAATGCAGATGCTCTGAGATCTCCAGATGGCGGCGAGGAGGAGGAAGGAGCGCGTCTACAGTACGACGCACGAGCGACCGGGAGGCCGGGAGAAGATGCTGCTGCTGATTATGACGCATAATCACTCTGATTAACTTCACGTTTGACTGCTGGAGGTAAATGAATGTTTACCCAAACGGCAAACAAGCATCCTTCTCGCGCTCCCGGTGCCCACCCCACCTCTTCTCACTGGAGGTTAGAGGAGGACGAGGAGAGAAAACGCTGACTGTGGCGCTTTTCTCCACAGCCGAGCGTCCGCCATCGCTGCTGTCACTCGTTACCATGCCAACGCCGCTGACACCGAGCCTGCTGCTTGGCGCCGCGCTCTGGGTCTGTCACTCCACTGCAGAGACGGCAGCGTTCCGCCGCGGGCGCTTTAACGAAGGCAAAAACCAGCGAGTGACAGAGGACCAGGAGCCACATTGTAAAGGAACATCAGTGCATTTCATATCTGTGTGAGAAATATAAAGTTCTTTTGTTTGTGAGGGACTTCTTATGTTGGATAAGAGCAGAGGAGCAATCTTTAATCTTCATTAAATCTCTATTATTAGAGCATTTTTCAAAATAAAATGCTGTACAGTGGTGGTGGAAAGTATTTCAGAGGTAAATATTGAACTGTCTGCTCCACTACATGTGTTCGACCACTTTTTAGGATAAAGATTTTATAGAATGGATAATGTAGAAAGTTTTAAAGGCTAAACCAGTGGTTTCCAACATGTGTGGCTTCTGATGTCTTACCAAAAGCGGTCGGGCTCATATTTCAGACGTCTATGAGTTGTTCCCGGCTCCACCAAATAGTGATTTTTTTTTTCCTCCGAATTTCTCACATGGTTTCATTTCAATAAATGTTCCAACAGCTCACCAAAAATCAAAGATTAGAGAAAACTTGAAAACAGATTTGTGCACCAGAGCTTTGTTTTTCTCTTCTTTTCTTTTATATTTATCATCTGACGAGCCCTCAGACTTATCTGCTGCCAATGTATAAAAAACTGGATTTAAAGTACTTCAAACTAGTTGCACGTGCAGCAGCTCCAACAGTAACATGCTGCAGGTAAGTTGATGTTTCACTAGTAAGAACATCATCATGTCATAAATGATAATACATCAGAGAGACCAAATACTACTTTTATCTTAATACTTTAACTACAGTTTGCTGTCCATATTTTTTTCACTTTCGTGGGGTATTTCACTTGTAATGGTGTATTTTTACAGAATAAACAAAACACGCAGGACCTGAACACTTCTTCCACCTCTGATGCACAAGAATCAAAGCCAAGAAGTAACCAAACTAAAGATATACCAAAACATATCGGACTTTGATTTTTTTTTTTTAAATCTCCAAAATGGCAGAAAAAATGAGGGAGCACATGGACATCAGGATAAAAAAAAAAAAAAAAAAACTCATGATGGAAAAACGAACATATTCCATATCATGATTCTAATCTGTTGCTTAGCGGTGCTGGATACTACACTGGGTGATAACTCATGTAATACTGTGTCTCTATGCACACTTTCATGTGAAAAAACAGCAAGAGAAGTTGCTCCAAAGTAATTCCACTGGAACTGTTTGTGCTGCTATCATGAAAAGACGTGTGAATAAGACGCCAAATCACTTTACATGTAACTAAAGTGTATTTCTTGCATTTCGCGTGTCATTGCACACCATGCGGAGGCGACGAAATAGTGGCAACGTAATACCCCCTCCCCCTGACCTTAACCCCAACCTCGACCATTTCACGTTCAAATTTAATGCTGTTAAATTACAAAAGCTTAAAATGCAATGACAGGACACTCAAAGGGTGCCTACAGCGACTTGCTATTAATATGCAATCCCATGACATCATGTTAAACCGTTAAGAGGTACAGCAATTCAGAAATACAAGTGGAACCAAGTCATGACACTTCTGCAGGGCAATTAATAAAATATTAAAGCCAATCTTAAAACGCAGGTATTTCATGATAAAAATGATAAATTGGAGGTCAGTAACTTCAAGCATTAAACTGACTTGTTCTAGCTTAAAACAGCTTTTATGACTTCTCAGATCGGCTGAAGACCGCGTGGCCTTAAAGCTGCTGGAGCTTTTTACGGCAGCCAACACAAAGAAACGTTACAATACTGGAAAAAAACACGCAGCTCGTAGCAATAAGCTAAAAGACGCCACTCTGCCCCCCACTCCATCACCGGCTTAACGAGCTGGGTCAGCGGCGGACAATATGGAGGCGAAACGAGCCAACCATGACAGCAAAGGTCACTAACACACACGCCTGGTTTGAGTTTCCTGTGTCTCTGTATAGAGGCGGACGTGTGGTCGGTGCGCATCTGAGTTATAGCATCCTGACAGAAAAATCACATCTTTACAATCTAGAGCCGATAAACAATCCTGGGTAATCAGCGAGTGGTTTATCGTTCTACTTCCTTTAGCAAATCCTGGTTTGAGGTGGGGTTTAGTTTAGTTTAACTGCAAGATCTGTGATGGTTTAAACATGAAATCAATGATATTCCAGCTCAAGAACACTTCTGGATGTATATAATGACAAGAATGTCCCACAAAGACAAACCAAAGAAACAAATCGTCTTTGTTTTTAGTTATTTTAAAGGAATTCAATTTTAAACCAGTGGTAGTCTGCAACAGAGCCTGGTGCTCATGGGATGGACGGCTACAGTCAAACCCAAGTTGGCAAAAGGTTGATAAAGGCCAAAGAAATAATTGCTTGACCTTTGGCAACCTTTTGTTAAAACAACCCTGAAAGGAAAAAAAATGAGGTTTGGGACTTCTGCCCTAAAAAAAAATAACTTTGCAGTTAACTGTCCAACTAATCCCTCATGTTTCAGATTGAAGTAGTGAAGCATACAAACGACCAATGGCAGAGTGTCTGTTGAGTCGTGGTGCGACTACGGCAGCTCTGCTGTAATCAGTCAATCCAAACTCCCCATGGAAGAGGGCCTCGGTGCCTTCTGTAAACTGGCCACTCAGAGGCTGGGAGAAAGAGTTAACCATGTGTGGAAATGAGTCGGGGAACGGAGCCGGGCTCTCGCTGCGATGTCGTACATCACCATGCCAGTGTCATTAAGCACAACCGGGCCCGCAGAAACAGCCTATCTCAGCCCGACGCAGCCTTTCTCCATGAAATTACACTGGAAATACATGGCTCGCATTAGTGATTCATTTAAACTGTTGTCATTTACATTTTAACCACTTAGCTCACACTCGTACAGTATCCACAGCTTCGTACAGTCGGGCTAAGTCGCACCAAGTCACTCGACAGCTAGTGCCAGGCGTGCAAGACGCAGAGTTGTATGAGCCTGATGGTGCATTTGACAGCTTTTTCCTGTTTCTCTAAAACTGTAAGGAAACGAAATGCAAGCAGTTGAAGAGAAGGGAAAGAGAGGGATGCGTTTTCAGTCAAGAGATGAGAGCAAGCTGCAATGCTCTGTCATATATTGTAAATATACTCTCATACAAAAGGGCGAACCAAAGCACCCAGAGCTCTACTGATGCCCATAGCCACATATTTCAGTCACACCTCTTTGACATCCTCCCTCTTGCTCCGATCTGCCTCCATTTAATCCATTCCTACTTCGTGATCGCGGCAGAGCTACGGAGCACAGTTGATGGATTGTTGGTCTGCGCACACACAACTGGCCCATGTGTTGAATTACAGCCGGGAAGAACTTGAAGCTGGGCTCGGCTGCTGCAGCTCGACAGCTCAAGGACCTTCAGAGTTCAAACGAGAGAGAGCGGAGGGGGGGCGAAGAGGTGTTTAAAGTGAGCCTGGACAGGTGAGGGCGGGGGAGGAGGGGGGGTGGATGAGGAGATTTGGGAGAGCTACGGCAGCACTCGGGACGGAGGAGGTGGGTCATGAAAGTGGGCAGGGACAAAAGATCACCTGACTGCCCAATGAGAGCCCAGATAGGGACGCACGCCCATGTGTTTGGGCTGCCGTGAGCGGCCCTCGACGCAGGTAA